CGCTTCAAACTTACGGATCGTTAGAAGAAAAAAAAAACGAACAACAATTATAATTATTTATTGTGTAAGTAAAAAGTGAAAGCTACAAAAAATTAATATATATATATAGTAAAATGGTGTAATGCGCTTTTATCAAGGTTACCAACATATCGAAAAAAAAAAAAATTAATTTTAATTTTATGATACTACGTTACAATTTTTTTGTTCTTTTAAGCTTAAAAAAAAAATTTTTTGCTGTCATTAAAAATTCCTGAAAAAAAAAACTTCCACGATGTTTGTTTGTCATTTTCGTTCATTTTTTTTTTCCGTTTGTTATTTAAAAACAAACGTTGTGTTCTCGAATGTTTGTTTGTTCGATGAATCATTTACGTTTTATTATTATTATTAATGCTTGGGTTTTCGTTCGAGTACCTTTTTTTTTAAATTTTTGAATCTATTGAAAATTGACCGACCTTCCACTTGAACGATGACAGAATCTCATCATGTGTTTTCGATTTACACACGAAACGCAGATTTGTGCGTGTGTTTGTGCGTGTGTGTGTGCGTGTACGTGCGTAAAGCGTCAAAAAAAAAATTTTAAAAATAAATTAAAAAACCATCATTCGTTCTCCATCATTAAAATTTAGCAAGAATAAAAAAAATTTTTTTTTTCCTTAATGCGATCGATCGATACAAATTCCAATCGATAAATTTATTAATGATAATGATAATAATGATAATAATAATAATAATTCGATCGAATTATAAATTTATCATTTCGTACTTGTTTTTTTTTTTTTTTTCTTTTTTTAAATGGCGGTGAAGTTAAATGCGGAATTTTCGCGTCGTTTTCCGCATTTATCCAATGCCTGAATTTACAAATATAATAATAATAATAATAATAATAATAATAATAATAATGATAATTTGCGTTTTTTTTGCTTAATAAAAATTTAATATAATCGTGACTTTAGAGTAGAAAAAAAAAATTTAATTATAAGGCAAATGTAAAATTTTTTATTTGATTTATTTACGAATGTGGGTGATGAAAATTTTTTTTACGCCGCGTTTGACATTTTAATATTATTATTATTATCATCATAGAACAAAACCTTGCGTAGCCTTTAAAAAGGAATCATTGTAAAAAAAATTTTGTGTCCTTTGGCAATCCAAAAAAAAATTTAAAAGGTTTTTTTTCCCGAAATTTCATCCTCCTTTTTTTTTTTTAATTAAAAAATAAAAACAAGGGTAAAAAAACGTTTTTTTTTTTTTTTTTTTTCCAAGTTGGGACTACTACTACTCGGGGGGTTTAATAAACCGTTAAAAAAAAGGGGTTTTGAATTAAAAAAAAAAAAAAAATGTTTTTGTATATACCGGAAAAAAAAAAAATGGGTTTTAAAAGTCAAGGGGATCTTTTAGTAGGTAGTAACTTTTTTTTTTTTTTTTTTTATTAATATTTGTTGTTGTTCAGAATATATATTTTTTGTTCAGAATTTTTTTTTTTTCTTATTCCCCGTGAAATAGTTTTTTTTTTTTTTTTGTCACGACCTTAAAAAGTCTTTTGGCAAATCGATTAATAAAAAAAAAAAAAAAAAAAACCTTGCGCCACAATTATTTCGACCGACCTAACGTCTCCACAATCACCCATCGACAACTGGATTATTGTCGATGGTTAACAAATAATAATAATAATAATAATGATAATAATGATAATGATAATAATGATAATAACTCGTTGGACAACTTTTATTTTATTTTTTGACCTTAATTATTAATTCGAATCAATTTGTGATGAAAATTTTCACGAGGTTAATTTTTTTTTTTTTTTTTTCGTCTGCTAAATAATAATAATAATAATAAATTTAATAATAAATTTTTTTTTTTTTTTAATATTTCCAGGAGGAAAAGTTTTGAGTTTCAATGTTTTTTTTTTTTTTTCAGGTTATTAATTTACACCTATCTCTCTCTTTTTCTCATTCCCCTCTCCACCCATTTCTCTCTCTCTTTCATTCCCCTCTCTACCTATCCCTCTCTCTCTCTCTCTTCATTCATATTTTTTTCAAACTTTTAAAAATTGAAAAACTTTCGTTTTTTTTTTTTTTGTTTACGTTGTTCGTTTCTGATTTTGTTTGAGAGTTTAATTTTTAATTAGCATAATGTCATGAGAAAATAAAATAAAATGATAATGATAATTCCAGTGTTTTTCTCTTGACTTATTCACCTGGAATTTTTCTTCTTTTTTTTTTTACTCATTTTTTATCATTTTAATGTTAAGATGAAGTAAATAAAAAATTTTTTATTTTTTTTAAAATGCAATTATTATTATCATTATTATTACCAGTCGTAAATTTTCCCATCGAGTTATTAATTACTTAATTTTTTATTACGTAAGCAAAAAAAAATTTTTTTTAAATCCAACCCTCGAAAGCTGAAAAGAAAAATTTTTTATTTTTTTTTTAAATGCAATAATAATAATAATTATTATTATTATTATTATTATCATCATTATCATTATCAGTCGTAAATTTTCCCATCGAGTTATTAATAACTTAATTTTTTATTACGTAAGTAAAAAATAAAATTAAAAGCAAACCACCCTCCGAAAGCGTTTTTTTATTAAGTAAACAAAAAAATATTATTATTATTATTATTATTAACGTTGAATTTTTTTTAAATTTTCCAGCAGACGACAATTCACGCGAGTAATTTTAATTTTTTTCCCCCTTTTACTTTTTTTATTACTCGAGTAGCGATGACGATGATGATGCTTCGTAACGTTACAAAAAAAATTTTCCAAATTTTACGATGACGTCAATAAATCAATCAATCAATGAATTTTTTTAACGGAATTCTCTCTCTCTCTCTTACTTACGAGGATTTGTCCTTGAAAAAATTTCCTTAATCAATAGCTTATCAGAAAGTACTTATTTCAACCCTGGAAATTTTCTCTCGCGCTTTCCTTTCGCGACCGACGAAAAAAAAATTTTTTTTTTTTAAAATGACGTCACTCACATTGCTAAGTCACGTCATTCTTCTCATCATGATCGAAACTTACATAGTTTGACATATTTAAAAAAAAAAAAAACATAATTTTTATTTTTATTACCATTCGATTCTCCTGATTCGAAATGAATATTACGACGATAAGAAAAAAAAAAATCATGTCACGTTTTTATGTTTTTATTAATAATAATAATAATAATAAACCTAATCGTAAAATGTCACTTAAAACACGTTTACGAAAAAAAAAAAAAAAAAAATTTGAAAACTCTCACATATTAATAATCCTGAAATGAATAATTTAACAAAAAAAAATGGCGAATGAATTTATTAAATAAATAAATAATTTTTTTATTTTTATAAATATCTATCTTAGTAAGAAAGAAAGGAAATAATATTACGATAATAATAATGATAATAATGACGATAATAATAAATTGCGTATTGATTTTTACCTTTAATTTAAATACATATTCGTTTGGGATTTTTAACGGTTTAATTTGACAAAAGAAAATTTTGTGCGAGTAATAAAAAACTTTTAAAAGACGTTTCACGTACATACGATTATAAAGGGAAAAAAGTTCATTTTATAATTTTTACTCGTAGCAAAAACGTCGTTGAACTTAAAAAATAAAAATTTTATGTTCGTCGACATATTTTTATAAAATATTGCACAATTTTTTTTTTTTTAAATTTTTTTGAGTTTATTATAAATAGTTTAAGGTTTACTTAATTGTTCGTGCTAAATAATAATAATAATAATAATAATGATAGATTTGTTAGAGTAAATAATTTTCAATTTTTCTTCCTCATCGTGTCTATCCGTTGTTTTTGTTGTTGTTGTGATTGTTCAACGAGGAAATTTGTTTGTTATTCTCATTCCTCCCGATTCTAATTACACTGCAAATGTTGGTCATTAGTGCCCAGTTATCAAAAATAAGATGAGATCAAAAAGATGAACGATAAGAATGGATGCTGCGTTATTTACATTATTAGGTTATGAAAACAAAACTTAAAATTCATTAATCGAGCGTATTTCTGAAGAAAATGTTTCAAAACCCATCGCGATTGAAAGCGAAACCATAATAATAATAATATCATGTTCGGATATTAAAAAAATCAGGTCAAAAGGAAATTAAATAATTATAAATTAAAAAACCCCCATTTATTTATATTACCGGTATATCGTTTACGGTAATTAATTAATTAATCGCAAAATGATTTTTTTTTCGAGGGGGGGTGTAAGAGGAGGGGGCTCCTATCATTTAGGGTCTTAATAGAACGCGAGTTAAAATCTATTACAGTAATTTAAAAAAAAAATCGTTTTCATAAATAAAATAAACAACGGATTTTCTATTTAAAAACTATAAAAAAATTACTTTCTCTCGATTATTAACTTATTTTAATAAATAAATAAATAAAGTATAATTACACGACATTTTAATTTTACTGAAACTTTTTTTTTTTTAAACAATTCGTTCATGTCTTTGAATTTTAGGCGGTCGTTAAAAAAAAGAAAAAAAATAAAATTTAACTTCCGTTAAATTATAACTTTAAAACGGATAAAGTCACGTTGCGGAAATAGAAAGTGGTTAAACGAGTCGTCGTCGAACGACGACGACGGTGACGTCGACATCGACGACGTTTCAGGTACGAAAATAATAATAATAAAAACTTCTTCAACAGGTGCGCAATTATTTTTTATTAATTTCAATAAAAAAAAAAAAAAATATCGATAAAAATAACGCACAGAAATAGGAAAGAAAGAGGGAAAAAAACGGAAACGGATGTTATCGTTGTTTAAAATATTTTAAATTTTGGCGGGAAAAAATTTAATATTCTTTTTTCGTTTAATTTTTTTTCCGAGAGAAAAATGAAAAGGAGGGAAAGAGAAGGAAAAGGTCAAGTTGTAGCTTACGAAAAAAAATTTTTTTCAAATTGGGGAGAAGGAGACGGGGGGTGGGGGGAGTATTTATGCGTTAGTAGGACATTAAATATTCCGACCAATCGATTTGATGATGTTAAAATGTTTTTGCTATAAAAAAAAAAAAAAAATTCTTAAAATTTAATTGCTCACAGCGTGTTTTTAAACGAACAATAGACTCGAGATTATAAAAAAAAAAAAAAAGAAATTTTATTACTCTATGGAACCGAGAAATAAAAAAAAAAAAATTTAGGTCACAAAAACGCAGCAAGAATCATATTTTCGTACGATTTAATAAAACTTCCTTTCGCCCCCCCCCCAAAAAAAAAGAAAAAATTTACGAATGTCGTCGTAAAAAAAAATAATAATAATAAATTTTAGTAGGTTGATCTTTTAACGAATTTTAAATTTGAATTTTTTTTTGGCGCTTTTTTCTCTCCATTTTATTTCAATAATAAATAAATAAATAAATAATTAATTAACTTACCCGTGTGTATTCTCTGATGAGCTTTCAAATGTGAACTTTTGGTATAAACTTTGGTGCAGCCTGAAAAAAAAAAAAAAATAATAATAATAATTAATGATAATAATGATGATTGTAAACAAATAGAAAAACGAAAGTTTTTTTAAAAATAAATTTAAATTAATAAGTAAAAAAAAAAAAAATAGGAGAAAGTTTTTATTCTGTCTCTCTCATTTTTTTTTAAAATTTGTATAACGACTATTGGAAGGGGGGTTGAGGGAAAACGCGCACTTTTTAAAAATAACGTTTAGATATAAAAATAATAATAATAATAATAAAGGAATAATCGGATGTTTAAAAAAAATTTATAACGTTTTTTTTAATGCGACGTAAATTATTTATTTTTTTATAGGATACAAAAAAAAAAAAATTTATACCATTGAAATCCCCCATTTAAAAAAAAAAAAAAATTCGTGATAGGTTGCTGCCACGTTTACTCACACCGATATAACGGATGTTGTTTCAAAAAAAAAAAAAACTATATTATTTACTATTTATTTATTTTTTTATTTTGAAAAAAAAATATATGTATCTGATTGCAATAAATTTTTTTTTTGTTATTAATTTAACAGAAAAATGATAATGATAATAATAATAATAATATCTTTCAACGAGTTTTTTTTTTTGTTTAAACAAATAAATAAATTATTTATATGGATAATTTAAATTATATCAAATAAAAAAAAAAAATTTTAATTTTATTTTTTGTTGTTCATTTTATTTTTAAAAATATGAAATCAATAAATCGTTTCGTCTGCCCCTTCTTCCCTTTCCCCCCTCGTAAAAAAAGTCAAAATTCCCCCCTTTTCTCCAGGATTATTTGAAATTTGCGCAGGATCCGTAATAAGAATCCAATCCCGTATATACATTTTCAAACGGACACACACACACACACACTCCTCTCTGGTTTTTTTCTCCTCCTCTGTTCTCCTCCTCCTTTTCCTCCTCCCCAACTTTGCCAACCCCCTTGAAAAACCGTCATCGTTATCGCCGCCGCCTCCGCCGCATAAAATTTTAACATTTTATTAAAAAAAAAACTATATATATATATATATTTTTTTTTTGTTAAAGTTATTCGAGCATAAAAAATTTAACATTTAAAACTTTTTCACGTTTTTATTTATTAAACGTGACGATCAAATAAATAATAATAATAATAATAATAATAATAATAATAATTTTAAAACTTAAATTTATATTTTCGTCCTTTTGCGGTTATAAAAAAAATTATTATTATTATAATTTAAAAAATAAAAATAAATAAATAAATGGTAATTATTAATATGATGATGATGATGATGACGATGTTGATGATGATGACGATGATGATGATGATGATGGTAATAAAGAAAATAAATAAATAAATAAAAATAAAATAAATTACGTTTGGTCTTGAATAAAAAAAAAAAAAATTTCGTACGTGGCTACATCATCCGCCATCATTAATTTTATTTATTTATTTATTTATCAATTTACTTATTTTTCTCCCCTCCCCACTTCATATTATTATTATTATTATTAATTATTAATCGTTTTTAAACGTGCAAAAAAAAACATAAGGAAGTTTTAGTTTTTTTTTTTTTTTTGTTTTTCACGGTTAATGTATTAATAATAATAATAATAGGAATCAAGTAATTAATAATTTTTAAAATGATGACGTCATACGAAAATAAAAATCTGAACGTTAAAAGATTGAATGAATTTTTTTGGGGATGATGAAAAGGGTAGAAGAAGGATTGAGGGGGGGGTGTGTGAAGTGATACGGGGGAGTTTATTTAAAAAGGAGGAAATAATAATAATAATAATAATAATAATAATAATAATAATAATATTTAAAAAAAAAAAACCGAAATAATGATTTAAAAAAAAAAAAAAAAGTGGTTCTAGATTAAATGTTTTACGGTTGGGAAAACACAAAAATCCACTCTTCTTAACATTTTTAAGATATATGTAACGAGTTTGAAATATTTAATTGGGATTAAATTTTTTTTTTTTTTCCTTCTTTCGTTTGTTTGTTTGTTTGTTTTTGTTTTTTTTTGTTTTTTTTTTTTTTTTGGAAAAGGAAGTAAAATTAAAAAAGGAAGAAGAATAAGGAGAAGAAGAAGAAAATGAGAAGGTTAAAAAATTTTATGGTTTTAAATTTTACGATCGTTTTTTTTTTTTTTATGGGAAAAAAAAGGTTTTGGTTTTTTTTTTTTTAATTAAATTACTTACGTTTGTTTTTTTTTCGATCAAAGTTTTTAACACCTTTTTGTTTTTCTCTTTTCGATTATCATTATTATTATTATTATTATTATTATTATTATTATTATTATCATTATTTTATTATTATTATTACAGTCCAAAAAAAAGAAAATTATTAATTCGTTTGTTTTGTTGTTTGTACGTAAAATGTACAAACGAAGAAATTTTTATAAAAATTTTTGAATCGGATTAATTTTCATTAAAACATTCGAACGTGGTTATAATTTAATTATTAAAAAATTTTTAAGCTGCTGACACGTTTCCCTCCTTTCCCCCTCCTCTTCCCCCATTCCAATTCGATTTACATTTATTTATTTATTAATTGTTAATAATTTTTTTTTTTTTTTTTTTTTAAAGGGAAAAGAAAACGAGTAAAAAATAAATTTTAATTTTTTCTTTCTCTTAAATCCCGCTGCCGTCCCCCTGCTCCCCATAAAATAAAATAAAAAAAATGTTTTCTCGTGTCTAATTTTTATTTTATGTTTGTAAAAAAAAAAAATAAATAAATAAATAACGGGGGGAGGGAGCATTAATTGAAATTCAAAATTTTTTTGAACCGTAGAAAATTTTTAATGAAGAAAAAAAATTGATTCGGGTTTTTTTATTCTATGAAATTTAGTTTTTGTTAATAAAAAAAACCTCACATTTACGTTGATAAGTGAAACCGTTGCCCGGTGGTGGTGATATTTTGACCTTTTGTACCTTAAACTTGTTTTTTTTTTTTTAAATTAATAAATAAAAAAATATGAAAAAAACTTGGCTGATTTTTACACGGTTAAACCGTGACGTAATTGGTAAATTGATTTTTTTTTTTGAAAATTATTTTACTGGAGTGAAAATACTACTTGTATTTATAAACCACCACCACCCCCTCACCCCCCCCCCCGAAAATTTACTCTAAAGAAAACAAAATGTTCGGCATGGTTTATTTAAACAAAAAAAAAATTTTTTATTGTTCCATTTTTCCATTTCCGATTTTTTTTATTAAATTATTATTTTTTTTTTATATATATGAGGACGTGAGGTGATGTACAAACAAACAACAACATAAAAACAACAATTTAACCGTATCACGTGAGTAAATGATAAATGATAATACAAAACAAATTTTTTTTTTGATAAAATTTTTAAAATATTTCAATAAAAGGTTTTTTTTTTTTAAGTAAAATGAAAAAAAACAAACAACAAACAACAATCGGGTTCGCCTTTACAAACAAACAAGGAGAAAAAAAAACCATCAAAATATAATTGCTAGAAAATTTATTATGAACTAAAAACAACTAAAACGAAATTGGTTTTTTTTTTTTTTGATAGAAATTACGTTAAGTAACAACAACAACAACAACGTATCCGTTAAAATAAATTAAATTTTATTATTATTATTATTATTATTATTATTATCGTTTATTGTTTGAAAGGACTAGTGGTCAGGGCAGGCTAGTCGGGTCAGGGTAGAAAAGAAAAAGAAAAAAAAAAAACTAAATAAACTAGAATTTTCACTTCCTCCCGATTAGTGTGCCACCACCCATTAGACCCTTTGGGTTTTCTCAATATCAGGAAGAAATTTAAATCCGTACCTGTAACCTTCGAGCAAACAAACAAGCGATCGACTGATTGTCCGATTCCAGATATAATATTAATTTAACCTTGATCTTATTTAAAAAAAAATGGCGGCGATTTAAATTAAGTGTCCTAAAATTAACAACTTTTCTATGTCTTCTTCTTCTGTTTCCGTTTTGTCCAATCGGAAACGTGAAAAAATTTTCAATTGATGACGTAACACAAAAGTTTTTTTAACGTATAACTTATTTATATGATTGTAAAATAATCTTTTTTTTTTCAAAATGGCGGAACTAATAAGATCATGTACGGATTTATATTGTCATTTAATTAATAATAATATTGTTTGACATTGACGTCACCGTGACGTAAAAGTCTAGATTTTGTACTAAAAGAAGAAAAAAAACTTACCGGGAAAATCACAGTGGTGAACTCTTCTCTTTTCCAATTCTGGATTGTTTCTTCTATTAAATTTTAATATCATTGGCATCGTTGAAGTTTTTGCACATTGTGATAGATCTGTTGTCGGATACGGAGGTGGCGGAGTCCTTCTGGGAGGTCCCTGAAGCGTGTTACCAGGGGATCCCGGTTCCGACGTCGGTGGAGTCGGAGGAGGGGCATAGATAAGTCTATTGGGTGGTATTTGATAGTTCGGACTATGATAACTATGTTGGTAAACACTTCCGTTATATTGAGTGACCGGCGTGGTCATTAAATGTAAGGACGTGGTCGGAGGTACCTGATGAGGCGGAGAATTCGACATTTCTATTTTTGGAATTATGTTAGGTATAATGTACTCGTCGTTGTGAGCGTTTGTATTGTTCGTAAACACGGCACTGCTCGTTCTGGTGCACTCGTCCGGAACTTCCATTTTGATATGACCGGCGGCAGCTAATGCGCTTAGCATATCCGCATTGTCCGGATCTAATTTTTGAATACTGCTCGTTATATCTTCCCACAAACCGCTCGGCCTTAAAAAAATATCATCTTCGTTTGTTCCATGCATCGTTCTTCCGGTTGTTGTTGTTCCGTAACTACTTCTGGGCACGTCAAAAAATTCGTCTATCTGTGATGCTGATTCTCTCCTCGGTTTGTTATCAATTTCACCAACGGATTCGTTTTCTAACCGATTGAGTTCTTGTCGGCACAATATCGTTTCCAAATCCAACTCTGTTGTCTGCAAAAAAAAACAAACTCTTAAAACCCTTTTCAACAAACGTAGAACACAAACAAATCAACATGTCATCGCAAATATACATACAGTGCTACATAATAATAATAATAATAATAATAATAATAATAATAATAATAATAATAATAATAATAATAATAATAATAATAATTTACGTACAAGGTAATAAACTCAAATCAAATTAACTCGTATTAATATCTTAATAGGTTTTTATTTAATTATCATTATTATTTATTTAAAAAATCATCGTTAAATAATTTATTAACAATTTTCTTACAACCGATTATTTTGTTATTTTAATAATTTATGTAACAATATCCTAATTAATATATTTATTTACTTTTTAGATAATTTTTTAAATTTATTTAATACATTTTCATTTATCGATCGATAATTTACAGGTAATTAGTTTTAAAAAAAAAAAATCTCCTGTCGTCTGCTTCTCGCGGTCGGCTGATACGTTTAAAAGACGACCTCTTTTTTTTTCTTTTCGATTTCAGGTATTTTATAAAATTTTTTTTTTTTTTTATGGATTTTATCTCAAGTATCCGAAACACACAATTACCCTACGTTTAAAAAAAATCAATAAATCAATTAAGTAATATAAACTAAATAAAATATAAATTTTACACTTTTTTTTTAAAAAGAGAGAGAGAAAGAGTGAGAGAGTGAGAGAGAGGGACAGGGGGGAGTGAGGAACCTAATATTAAAAATAAAAACCTTTTGTATGTCGTAAAACAATCAGGTAACGTAATGGCGGGTGGTAGTAGTAGTAGTAGTAATACCAACAAAAAGAAAAAGTACCATCGATGCAAACAAACAAACAAACAAACAAAACAAACAAAAACAATCGTAAATTTTATTTTTTTTAAAAAAAATTCAAATTTGAAAAGTTTAACAATAAAATTTTCTCACGTGACCCACGACTGAATTCCCGCTCTTTTTTTTCTTCCTCTCCTATTCATCCCCTCTATCCTTTATTCCATCTTCTTTATCCCTTTCCCTCCTCCCCATTCCACCTTACTATGGGTTAAAATTAATTGCTTTTTCATTTTCGTTTGGGTCCTAATGAAAAAACACTTAACCGTTTTTTTTTTTCTTTCTTTTATCTTTTTATAAATTTACCGATCTTCTTCTTCTTCTTCTAGTTTTAAATGACCTTCTTTTACAAACACTAAAAGGTAATAAATTTTCTCGCGGGGGGGTGGGGTAAGGAAACTCACACAAAAATTTTTTACACACACTCCTTCCCCTTACTCATGAGTTTTTCCTCTGGAAAAATATTTCTAAAACCGCCATTTTAATTATCAAACAAACATACTTCCTTTATAATAATTTTACTTGGCGTTCTTTTTAACCCCCCTTCTTCCCCCTTTTTATTATCATTATTATTATTATCATTATTGTTACCACTGCTACCACCCTTTAGAAAAAAAGCCACCCATCCGAGTGTTTTTTTTTTATTTATTTGAAAATTTTATTGCTTTATTATATTCTCAAACTTTTTTTTTTCTTCAAGGGTCTTAATTATTATTTTTTTTTTGGGGGGGGGGGTGAAGCGCCGCACCGAATAACTGCCTCGCATTCACGGTGGGATTTTTTTTGTTTTTTAATACGTCGTGATTAATTTTAAATAAGTATTGTTTTATTAAAGGCTTTAACGAGTGTACCAAAACCGGAAATAAAAAATTACAGTTCCGGAAATACACTTAAACGAAAACATTTTTCGGTAAAGGATTAACTTATTTTTATTAACATAAATCGAGCGCCATTTTTTTTTTTTTGTTTTTCACGTGCCGAAAATTTTAAATTTTTTTTTTCGCGTTCACAGTAGCAAGAAACGGGTTAACACACGTGACTAAAAACAAAAAAATAATAATAATAATGGCATAGAATAAGAAAATGTCAAGAAAAAGGTTAAACACATAACGAGATGGTTTTGAAAAAAAATTACAAAGAGAACGCCGAAAAAAAAGTGGCAGCAGAAAAAAAAAGAAGAAAAAAAAAAGAATTGAAAGTTTTTTTTTTTTTTTTATACGTTAAGGGTTACAAAGTTCATTGAGTTTGAATCCTTTTCTGTTTTAGTACGTGAGAATTCAAACACATTTAATAAGAAAAATGGCGTATTTAAGGTTTTCCGACCTTTGACCTGTCATGATGGATCATCCATCCACCACATTCATCCGGTTGATGGATTTAAAAAAAAAAAAAAAATTTTCATCGTCACGATAAAAATTTTTTTTTTATCCGGTTTTTGTTGTAATAACCGGTCTGTTGTACCCTATAAGGCGAACAAAGTAATAATAATAATGATAATAATAATAATAATAGTGTTTTTTCTTCAAGTTTTCATAAAATGCAAAAATTTTTATTTCGAACGTGTGCCACAAAAGATAATTACGAGTTTCAAAAGGAAATAAGTGCTTGAGTAGGTGTTATAAATCACGGGTGTGTGTGAGTGTTACTAAGTGATTGCCTATATCAGGCTTGACAACATTGAAAACAAAAAAAAAAAAAAATTATAACGATTTTTCGTGCCTTCCTTCTTCTTGCGTGTAATAATATATATACGTATAAAAATTCAATAAATTATCAATAACGAGATTGATTTTTTTAAAAATTTTTCTTCTGCTTTTTTCATCCTCTCTCTCTTTCTCTCTCATGGTTTTTCCTCTTTTGCAATTTTTGTTTTCTAATCGGCGGTGAAATTTTTCCTTTTTTTTTTTTTCCTTTCGGAAATTTCAAACCTTCCGTTTTTTTTTTTTTAAATAAATTTTTTTTTCTTTTTTGTTCTTTTTTCCGCCATTTTGTTGTTGTTGTATTTTGATTCCGTGACAAAAAAATTTCAGGCACGTTTTTCTTTTCTTTCCTTCTTCATTACCATCATCATTATCATCATCGTAATCAATGTTATTCCCTTTTTTCTTTTTCTTTTTATTTCTTTCTTTCTTCTTTTCTTTTCTTTTTTTTTTTTAATAATTTACATAAAGTGTGTGAGTGTGCATGTGCGTGTGTATGCGTGTGTGTTTCTTTAAAAAAAAAATCAGGTATCGTCGGAGCATACAAAGCGTTACAAGTGTCAAAATGATTGACTGAAACAAATTTTTGTTTTCTAGAGTCTTTTATTTTCTGATTTTTTTTTTTTTTTTTTAACTTTTGGCGAGTGAAACGATGAATTGTTGTTAGCACACGTTTTCAACTATTATTATTATTATTATTATGATTATTATTTCCTTAGGAACAATAAGAGTAAAAGGAAGCAGGGATATTATAATTTTTTTTTTTTTTTTTTTTTTTTTTTTACAAACGAATATATGTATATATTTGAATTTGAAAGATTTCTATACCTGGTTAATGAGAGAAAATGTAAAGGATAAGAGGAACGGGAGGGGGAATGGGGGGATGACGACGTGGAGTAGGAGGACAGGTGTAAAAGAAAAAGAAAGAATTTCAAAGTGGTTCGGTCGGTAACTTTTCTCTCTCTCTCTCTCCCTTTATTTAATGATATTGACATGCACGATTTAAATTACGTTTTAAAAATTTTAAATTTTCTTTCCCCCCCCCCCCCCCGATGTTTAGTTAGTGTTGCCAACTGTTACAAAAAAAATTTAAACCGTATTAATACGAGTAATAATAATAATAATAATAATTGACAATTTTTATAGATTTAAGTGAGGTAACAAAAATTTGGCACTGAAATTAATTATTATGGAAAAAAAATTTTTTTAAAATTTTTATTTAATTTATAAAATTATATATATTTATATTTATAATTTATGTATGAATGTTATTAAAATTATTATTATTATTATCATTATTATTATGTCTTAAATGGTGACTAATAATTTGCGGCGGATGGGGAAAGAAAATAAAAAAAACACTTTTTCAAATCACTTACGGGCACAAATTAATTTACATTCATTTCGTAACATTTTGTCTTAATAATAATTTCCGACAGTAATTTTTTTTTTTTTTTTAAAAAAACTTTTCGTTTATATGTAAAAAAGAAAACAAAAAAAAAAAAAACAAAATAAAGCAGAAGTAAATTAACAATAAAAATCGTGGATTGAATATTAAGTGAATCGTTAAGATGAATGAAAAACAAAAAAACAAAAAAAATAAAAATAAAAGAATTTTTTTAATGTAAAAACAAAAAACAATCTTTTCTTTTTTTTGTTTCGTTCGCCATTTTGAATTTAAAAAAAAAAATTTAGTTTATTATCATTATTATTATTATTTTCACTTCTTATCGCGACAAGTTTCACATATTCGCTTACGTTTTAAAAAAATTCATTTTGCGTTTTTATTTTCAATTTTAAAAGGATATCGTTGATGACGTCATAGAAAATCTTTCGAGAAACTTGTGACAACACATGGGGGGTGCGGAAACTTCAATTACTTTAAATCATTTAACGGAATCATGCCTGAAAATAATATCCGGTTTGTTGTTTGATTGTTGAAAATTGGAATGTGGTTGTACCATTCTTTAAATCCAGTAAAAATTTAAATTTTCTCCAAATCAAACATCTAGAAAATTGTGATTGGGAATATTAACATTTGTCGTCCAGGAAGATTGTAAAAATTATCATCTTGTAAATCCGCAAAGCTTGGTCCAGTGCAGCATCCATAACGAACACTTCAATTTTTAATTAATTATCCGTTCTCTTCTGAAACGTTTATTTACTCTTTTCAGGTTCTATCCCAGCAATTTTTCCCATTTTCATTTGCCTTTTGGTCTCCTCTAAAATTGATTTTGCCATCACGTGATTCCTCCATTTTTCTTTTTTTTTTTCTTAAACGATTTGTGTTGCCCCATTCAATCAAACTCCTTTTTCAATTTTTCAATATCATCATTATTATGATTACACTCGTGTGTTTCGTGTCAAAGAGTAATAAATTTTTTTTTACTTTATTAATTAATTTTTATTTAATATCGACAATTATTTAATTAATTTTAAAACTTAAAAATAAATAAATAATTGATAAATAATCATCAACACGCAAACTCGTTTGTCGTTTTATTTTTAATTATTTAATAAAATAAAAAAAATTTATTTAGTTATTTTGTATGCAGATCATATGAATAAAACGTTTTAAAGACAAACGAAAAAGAATCTACAACAAACTACAACAAAGGCAACAAGTCGAATCCGACAAATTAATATTCGTACTCATAATACTAAATTTAAAAAAAAAAATTTTTTTCCCCCTTCAGGTATTGGAAATATCAAAAGCGTTATCTCCCCTCCCCCCACGTCTTCCCAACTTTACTCCTTGTAATTGTCACGAGGGATTTCAAACATTTGTAAATTACAGTTTGTTATAAATGGAAATGAGGGCTGGGGGTGGAGGGTAGAGGAGGACAAAAATTAAAAATAGGAAAAAAAAGAATTTTTATATTTTTTTTTGGTTTAAATTATGCCTTAATTAAGGTTTATTAAAATTAATGAGGAAGAAAAGGTGAGAAAAACATTTTTTTTTTTTTTTGTAAATTCCTGCCACGTCTTTTTACATGCTATTATTTTCAAATTTAATTATAATAATCTGAGAAGAGGGCGCGGAAGTGCAATGTATGGCTCGCGTTACGTCACATGTACGTCATGTTCATGTCAAATTATTTAATTAATTTTAATAGGTTTTTTTTAACAATTTAGTTATAAATTATGTATCAAAAGTTTTGTAATTGTGTTTAGTTTATTGTGATATAATTAGTTTTTTGTAGTATTTAGTGATAATTATATCATTTCAAGTTTAAGTTTACAAGTGGTCAAGGGTTTCATGTGACAAAAGGAAGCGTGGGTAAGAAAAAATCTTAGAAGATGGTTTAGCACATATGATTATTACGAGTAAGTTATTCATTTTCATACTTGAATTTCACTTGCAAAAACGTTAGGCTGGCAAACAAAATGGAGCAAATAACCAAAAAACAAAAATGTTGTAAAATTTTACATTTATTTGGCTAATTGCGGGTAGTTTAACTAAATATCTTTTTCATCTCATCATACAAAACAAAGTTTTGAAGTGTATTTTAATAAAAATATTTATTAATAAT